CCCCCCAGCCACTCTCGGGAGAAAGACAAGGCCGCCTGCTCCCATAGAGGCTGACAGACTCCAGCACCCCTCTGGGGCCTTTTCCGCTGCGAGCGATGGAGCGGTGCCATCAAGCGGTGGTGTCAGAACCAACTAGAGTCGGTGTCTAGAGACTCGGAAGAAAAGGCTGGCAGCTCAGTTCCCACGAAGGAGCTGACTCTGGATCTCTGAGCTCAGACTGGAAAACGCCCCCACAGGACAGCGTTTTGTGGCGGCGGAGTGCGCATGGTCACTGCCGGGCTGGGGCCGACGGGAGGGCACGGACCCCAGGATGCCCGTTTTACAGAGGGGAAGCCGAGGGTGGGGAATAATTAGCAGGCAATGTCCCCCACGGCCGCAGGGCTCTGCCGTGCGGTAGCACCTGGTCTATCCTCCCTGCCAGCACGTCTGCGTCTCGCAGTGTTCTGGGGTGCGAGGAGCTTCTTTTAGACAAGGGAGGGGTTATTTTCAGCCTCTTGTCAGAAGATGTGTCAGGGAGAAGGCTCCGTGCCCATCATGCTGGCGGGCAGCCTGTTGCTGTGCTGGGGCGCTGCGAGCGTGTGCAGGGCTCGGAGTGAGTGCCAGCCTTGGGAATTCCAGGGTGTGGGGCTGGCATTGCCATGGTGGGGGGATAGCGACAGGACCGGGCTTGGAGTCTGGCGGTTTGGGGGTCCTGTGAGGGCATCCCTGTGCCTCCTGGGCATTATCTGCCTGCAGTCTCCCACTTAGGATAAGGTGACCAGATTTGAACATTGGTAAAGCGGGACAAAAGCGGGACACCATTGATAAAACTCATATCCTGGCAAAATAGCCATATGGCAGCCAAAAACCGTTTACCCTAGCTTGTCATGCATTCTTTCCAAAAATTGGGACATTTTTAAAATGACGCGGGACACAGGAAAAATTGTTAAAAGGCAGGACTGTCCCGCCCAAAGCGGGACGTCTGGTCACCTTAACTTAGGAGGGTGGACAAGGGGTGGACAGGTTCCTGGCCCCGACCACAGCCTTGCCTGCTGCAGCCCAGATCACAAATCCAAACTCACTGCCATGGCGCCGAGGCCGGCTCCCAGTGCCCCTACAGGACGGGCAGGACTGCCCCTGTGAGGTCCCGAGTCTGTAATTCCTCACAGGAGTAGAAAGCCCCATCTTTCTCTCATGGAATGAAGCAGCTGATGGTTTCGAACTGTTGACTTTGCGGCTAGTGCGTAACCCCTAGGCCAGCCCATCTCAGACCCAAAGCCCATTCCCTCAAGGCTGCTTGTGATACGCACCTCTCTCTGGTCTCAGCCGGAAAACGCCCCAGGATGGTGAGCCAGTTTCAGGGGAGCTTGCAGGCAAAGACGGGGAGGAGGAAGGCCCTGTGATGCTTTTGTTTTGTTTTGCTGCTGAGGGGGCAAAAAAGCTTCTTGTCCAGAGACGGCAGCTCAGGCAGAATCCCAGGGAAGTGGTGACTCCCCCAGAAACACTACCAGTGTCGCCACCCAAGACCCAGAGCCTCAGACGCAACGAGGCACCTTCCCTCGGCCAGCACCCTCCTTGCCAGCCGTGATGCAAAGGCGGCAGCACTGGAGGGGTGCTTGGCACAGAAGGCCGGCGCAGGACCTCTGCTCCTGGGAGGGTAGGGGCCTCCAGAGGACAAAGGGTGGAGGCTGAGCACAGAGGCCCCCTCCCCATCTACAGGGTGCCCCTCCCCTCGACCAGCTCTCTAGCACAAGTGGCAGGGCCTGGAGCTGCCCAGGGCCCCCGTCTCGGGAGGGCAGGAGCTGGCTCTGCACCCCGTCGCTCTGTGGTCCACACCCTGTCACCATGTGGTCTCCTCCAGGCGCCTGATGCTCGCCATCCAGGACACAAACATGACGGACTGAACACGTGCATCTTAAACGGTCCCAGCAAGCAACCCGGGGTGACGGGCCCAGCTTCTCCTCCAGCAGCGGGGACAGGAGCAGGCGTGCTCTCATGTGGGATGCTGTGCCCAGGAGACAGTCTGCGGGAAGGTGCTCATTTAGCCCAGAGCGTCTGTCCAGAGATGCGTGACCCCGGCCCATGGGGATGTGTCCACAGCAGAAGTGCTCCTCACAGCATGTCTCCAACATGGCTTCAGCTCCCTCCGGGACTTCACCGCGGCGCATGGTCCAGGGCTGGGCAAGCAGTGTGAGCCTGGCCACCATCAGTTCACACCGGCCAGCCGCGCTGAGGGGGATGGCGAGGCCATCTGTGCCATCAAGGTCTGGAGCCCCGGGCACACCATGCAGGGTGCTGTGAGCCAGCGCTGACCGATGGCAGCGGATTCGGCTTGTCATCTGGATACGAACCTTCAGGCCGGCCGTGTGGAGCCCACCACAGTCTCTTCTTTGTGAACGGTTTTACTGGCGCGAGATTTACCCATCATGCAACTCAATCGTCGGGTCACACCAAGGAGAATTGTACGATCATTGCCACATCAATTTTAGAGGAACCCCCCCTGCCCCCCAGGGTTCAATTGTCTTTAAATCGAGCTGTGCCGTCAGTCTGTTCTAGTGCTCCCTCCCCGCTCCTGCGGTCACCATTTACTCCCCAAGCCCTCTTTCCTGTCCTATCTGCCCCCGCTCCGCTCCCTACAAACCTTTTCATCAGTGATCCTCATGACGCCTCCTCTCCTGAGACCCACCAGGACACAATGACAGACTAAACCCCACGACGGCGCTCAGGATAAAGTCATCACAGGACACAGGCGAACACAAACGCCGCGTAAGAAGGGAAAGACCCCGAGGTCAACCTTCAAAGAGCCAGGGAAGACGTCTTTGTCACGGAACCGTAAGAGACCCTGCACCCAGCCCACGGTCAGGTCGCGTCTATGGGGAGCTCAGCTGGCCAGCGGTGTTTTCAGTCATGCCATTGGGCATGGGATCAAGAAGCTGGGAGGAGAATGGTTCCCTTTGCATGGCGGTGCCGGCAGAGACTGGCAAGGGAACCACGGATGCAGACAGAAGAACCCACAGGCCTGTCTTGGAAGAAGCGCAGCCAGAGCATCCCTCAGAGGCCAGGAGGGCGAGACTCGCCCCCCAGCCCTCAGATGTGTGGTCGGGAGACCAGGCACAGAGAAGGACACTGTGCTTGGTGAGGCGGAGGGCTAGTGAGAAAGAGGAAGGAGATGGACGGACACCGTGGCTGCAGCCGCAGGCTTGGGCAGGGACGACGGTGAGCTCGGCGCAGGGCCGGGCGGGTTTCCTTCCGCGGTGCATGAGGCTGCTCTGGGTTGGAGCCGGCTCAACAGCACCGCACAACTATCACGACAGCGGTGCCGGGGAAGAAAGGCCTGGCTCTCTGCTTCTACAGAGGTGGTGGTTAGCTGCCTCACCCCACCCTCACCCCCACCCAGTAGATTGCACCCCGGGGGACTTTCTCCCTGGTGCTGAAGGTTGAGCCCACCTGGGTACAGCCCAGGAGTTCCGGGGCGCCGCTGTGGGGCGGCATCAGCTCCCTGGTGGTGGGTTTGAGTGGTGATGGTTGGTTGGTTGGTTGGTTGGTTGGTTGGTTGGTTGGTTGGTTGGTTGGTTGGTTGGTTGGTTGGTTGGTTGGTTGGTTGGCTGGTTGGTTGGTTTGCTATCCAGGGAGAAGGAGCACCCCCCCCCCCATGGCGCAGTTTAAACCCAGCTGCGGCTTTGGGGCCACTTGGCACCCTCTGCCCTGACTCAGGGCCTGTGGCGCCAGGTGGGCCGGTCGAGAGAGACTGCTGTGACCGCCAGCGAGCAGGACTCTCTTGCGATTCTCCCCAGGGGTCCGTCCACTAAGCCTGGACATCCCAGCACAGAAGCACCGGGCCCTGGTGGTCGACATCTTGGTGGACATAGTGTGTGCCGGCCATGTGGAGTCCCCGCCTGCATTCCGGCACCTTCCTCCTCTCCTCTCCTCTCCTCTGGGCTTTGTGCTTCCTCTCTCTCTCTCTCTCTCTCTTTCTCTCTCTCTCTCTAATTTTGGAAGCAGTTCTCTTAGCAACCAAAAAAAAAAAAAAAATAGGCACACTTAATTACAACCTCAGGAACAGACGCTCCAGACAGCGTCTGTGAGCCTCGCTTCCCGGCTGCTCCCCGGCCGGCCGTCTCCGGAGACCTTGTGCCGGTGCTGCGCGCCTTTTCCCTCTGGCTGCCAAGAGAGCGGGCGAGCGGGCGAGCGAGCAAGCGTACCATCCACAGCCTGGGCCGCCACGTGGGGAGTCTCCCTGCCATCACGCCCTCCCACCTGGTCTCCCAGAGACCCCTGGGGCGGGGCGTGTTTGAGAGGTGCACACGGCGGTGGGGACAAGGCTCACTGTGGCTGGCGGTGTGGAGTCAGGACACGGCAGGCTGTACCGGATGATTTCCTTGTTGTTCTCTCTTTATGAGCGAGCGAGCAAGTGAGTGAGCGAGACAGAGAGAGAGAGACAGATCTTGTTTTCTGCCGTGTAATTACCACGATGGGGGTGTGCCAACGATGGAATTGCTACTTGCGTCTGGTCCTCGGGAACTGGAATGTGGGTCATGCTCAGAAGCTCCGCTCAGCCGGGGCTGTGTGCCCCTGAGCCTTGGCTCTGCCAGGAGCTTCCTCCAGCATCTGGGCAGGTGGCATGGCACCCACCCCACCCGCCTGCCTCACTCTCTCTGCTGAATGACAGACAGGACCCAGTGCAACGGGCTTCTTGGGAACATAGAACCCCACTCAGCCCCACTCCCCCTCCAGCGTGCCAACCGGCCCAGAGCTCACTTCCCGGTAATCCTGCTGCCCAGCCGGAGCAGAACCAGCCCCTGGCCCGGCGGAGCGCACAGGTGACTTCCAGAGTTTGCGGGCTAGCCGTCCTCCTGCAGGACACGTGCCCCGCGCCCGCTCCGCTCCGAGGCGCTTCACAAAGCCTCACATGACACGCGCCGCGGCGGCGAGCGTGAGCAGGGTCTGCCTCCAGCGCCTGTCTCTGCTCAGTGGGCTCCCGGCTGACAGACAGAAGATGGGGTGGGCTCTGTCACCCGTGCCCCGGGCCTGGCGTGCCCGGCCAGCCCCGAGACTGCACCGTGCCCTGTTGCCGCCCACCCAGAGGCTCCCTGCCACCCCGGCGCCCAGCAACGGGGTCTCCCATGTGGCCTTCCTTCCCGCGGCGGAGAGGGTTATATAATGTGGGGACAGCTGCCCAAGTCGGAGGAAGATGAAGTCTTTGTTAAATGCCTTCACCAAGAAGGAAGGTAGGGGGGAAGGC